CCGCGCGCGCGCACACGCACACACACACACACACACACACACACACACACACACACACACACACACACTAAAGAACAACGATTATTCTCGGGTTACATTAAGAGTCGGAGCGGCGAATAAAAGCATGGAAATTATGACACAAATCACATATCGACACTTTAAAGGTATCATTATTACTTTTGACATTTTTTTGTCGTTTTTAAAAAATCTTTTTGATTAGATTATTTTATATGAAGCACTTTACCTGTCTGGTTGCGTGTTTCTATGCATTGTGTGTAAATTGAATAATTGTTGTTAAATAAAGTTTGGGGAGTTTAATTTGTATGGTGTTACATGATGTTGTGTATGTTGCTGATGGGTTACTATGGCAACCAACCGGAACGCAGCAGGCCAGTCAAAGAATTAAGTGAACAGCTTGTTTTAAAAAAAGGTGGTGTGGGGCCAAGTTTGTGTTGTAATAGTTCGTGTTGCCCAGTGAAAAGTCAATCGTTTTTCGGTTCCCGAAATTGTCATAGATTCTTGATAGTTGGGGTAGTTTGACAAAATTTTGCCATGTCATTAAAGCACTCGTTGTATTTCATTTTTAAAAAAGAACATTTATTGTCTGCTGTTAAACCTCATTTGTCCGTGTGTCGTAGTTGTTGTTGACTTGTTTGTGTCGTGTTATTTGTCATTTTATGTTAACTCTTCTGTTGATGGTGGCGTGGGTACCCGCAGCGGCTCCTCTCCCTCCTGTGTTTGAGAGGAAAGAAATTTCATCTGTGCTGTATGTTGCACATAGAGCACATTTGACAATAAAGTTGACTTGACTTGACTTGACTTGACCAGTGCCGCAAATTGCCTCGCTCGCAGTGTCATTGTGTCGTCATACTTTGCGATGCCCAATGTCGGGCCACTGATTGATCTTCTTTCTTAAGTGTTAATAAATCTGCAGGCTTTTGACAAAATCATGCCACATTTTATGAAGGTACATTGGAACTGTTTAAAATTATAAAAATAAATCAAGTGAATAACATATTTGCGGGTTGCTGAGTGGAGGCCGCTGATTGGTCAGTTTGCTAAAACGTCATCAATTTTTTTTGTCATTTATTAATTATCATTGCGGCATTTAAAAGAATGCCACCAACATATTATTTAGACACCCTGGAACTGTTTAAAATTGTAAAAAAAATACATGCACGTCTTTATCACATCATAAGTGAACATTTTATTGAAAGTTGTTGGGGGCGAGGCCAATACTGTCGTCATGGTGCGTGTTGCCCAATGGATTGGGTTGGATAATGCTGCGTTCAAAGATAGTGGGAAGATGGGAAGTTAGACAATTGCGACTCAGGACTTGGAAACGTGCACATGAACGCCCCTTAGGACTGGGATTTCCGATTTCCGAAGTTGGAAAAAAACGGACCTACCGTCTTCAATGTGACGTCAATCGACAATAGACAATGGCAAAACATAATATACAAAATAATTAACATATATTTATCTTATTTGAATATGATTACATTAATTTAGGAATTCAAAATAACTTCTCGTAGCACAACATGCCGTTATCTCCCTGCGTGAAGTTATTTGATGAAATGAATAAAATACTTTGAAAACAAGATATTGCGTCATTTATATGCATTAAGGATGGTTGCTGGGGGTTGAAATGGGTTGTGATGATTTATTGCAATCAGCCATCTCTGTTTAGGTTCTCCTCGAACGCTTTGAGATCCGGAATGGGACAATCCGAGTTCGATGTCTCCGATTACCCACTTTCATCGAATGCAACATAATTCTTCATTATTTATTTATTGTGTATTTTGGGGGGGACGCCACAAAAAGGTTATTAAGACACCCAAGAACCGCTTTAAATAGTGAAAACATGCACGATATAAGGTTCTCCCAAATTCAACCATTTGTAGGAAGATTTTCGTGGTCGGGATTTTTGCTGTTTCGTCATAGTTAGTGAGTCGTTGATTGGTCAGATTGCCGCGCTTGGGGGCTCCTGCTCCAAAACGCAGGGGTAAAACAATAAATCGAAACCTATCGCTTTAAATGTTCTATCTCTCATACCTCGCAGATCAGAAATCGTCGGCGAGAGAACTGTAAACACCTGTCTGTGTATTTGCGGTATACCGTCGCTTATATTAATATTATTACCATATCCATTCTGTCTGTATAGATAGGTCTTTAACACGGTAAGTTAGCCTGCATTCTTCCTCATAGCTAAAGTTGTGGCTGGCTGACAAGCTAAATGCTAACTTTAGCCGCATTGTCTGGTCTAATTGCTTGTTAAGAGAAGCGGGCGGCAATCTGATGTTATCATATAAACTAAATTTTTGGGGTACAAACGCTGCACGTTGCCTAGCAATGAGCAAAATCCGTGCTTTCTCGCTCGTGCCTATTGTTTGCCAGTGACCGCACAGGACTGAGCAAGTTGGGGCTCGACAGTCAAATTGATTAGAAATTATGAAAAATAATGCATTTTACTTTTTGTGGAAAACGATGGCATCGATTGCATTTAATGTACCGATTCCTAACGTAGACGTTACAACTGCTACAGTCGCTTTCTGTTGAGTCGTTGTTTGTGTGTGTCCCCCCTCTACATTTGTATTTCATGTTAATTTCAGCGACGCGCCTCCGTTATTGTCTTGTTATTCTTGCGCGCTTTGCGTTAACTCTTATAAGATGACTCAGTACATGATATTCTTGTCAATATAACCGCGAGTGGCCTGAAATAAATAAAGACGACGCCACAATTTAGCCTAGCCCTGGTGCTAACCCGAGTGAGCACGGAGTAGCCGGGAGGGGGACATTTTTTGTTTGTTTATCACACGCAGGAGTCGTTAAAATGTCAATTTATTCATGTTTTTAATTAGGATGATCATTGACAAGCCCAGGGGCCGCAGCGTCCGCTATCAATAGAGATGACATTATGCTACAGACAGGAGGAGGCTTGTGTTGTGCATACAGGCCACGACTGTACGAAACGGCTGATTACAAAAACACAATTCTGGCACTGATATTTTACAATAGTCAGCCTTTTTGCCGCCTCGTCGCCAGTGTCCTGTATAAGATCAACCTTCGTCTCTTTCTCTCTTGATGGACATGCAGCTTCTGATTTAGCCTCCAAGCTAACAGTCAGCTGTTGTTGTGACTGATGCAGGCCTAGAAGTGGGGCAAAGAAGCTGTGCTTTTTTTTTTTTTTTTTTTTTTTAATGCTTCATTTCATCAAGTCTTTTTCCTGCATATAAAATTTGGAGGCTGCCACCTCCGCCTTTTTTCTGGGGCACCTAAACTTCTGACATCATTAAAGTTGTTATTGCCTGAACAGCGTTGCACTGGTTGGACGTCATTTTTAACGTGTTACGTCACCGGGACCGCGCTGTATCAGGAACTGTTGGAAGTCACTCCTAATAACCTGTGACATACAAGAGCTACTCATTTCCCATTCTCGAATGATCAAGATGGTACCCATTTCTGATTTAAATGGGGACAGGAAAAAAACCCTGCAGGGCAAATAAACTTACAAGTTACACTGTTAGTTTATTGTGGATGAACTGTGAAAATAACTTTACCCTCTCTTTGTGCCCTGCAGCACTAAATATTGTTTACCAAAGAAATGGTGATGGAGAAACCAAGTCCCCTGCTTGTAGGGCGGGAGTTTGTGAGGCAGTATTACACACTGTTGAACAAGGCGCCAGACTTCCTGCACAGGTAATGATTGACGCACACGTACGAGGCGCTTTGCTGTTTGTTTGGGGAGTGTGAATTTCTTAACTCTTTAACACTGCTTTGTTGTCAGGTTCTACGGGAGGAACTCCTCCTATGTTCACGGGGGTCTTGACCCGAGTGGGAAACTGGTGGAAGCGGTGTATGGGCAATCGGTAGGTCACCAATAATGTTTTTTTTTTTTTTTTAAATTTACATCTAAAATGCAGTAGGGTGGAATCCTGACCTGCAAATACTCCAACTTATGAGTTTTCCAGGCATGAGAACTTTCCTCGAGATGTAAATCGGTGAGAGATTTTTAGGAGGGGGCTCTTTTGATGTTGGAGTCGAGAGAGTGACACACGCAACAAGCAGGTTGTTCAGCAGTTCAAGAGCGGGGCACTGTTAAGAGATTTATGACCCGGTATTTGAATAGAGCTGGGGGGTTTTTTTGGTCCTCCTGCTGCTACCTATGCACGTGCGCTACTCTTAGCATTAGCTGGCGCAAAATTGGTAATTCGTAATTCGTAATTCGTTTCTGTTTAAATCATTTCATGTGTCTGACATCTGTTTGGCAAAATGGGATAATTGGGGTACTTTAATGCCTTGGCATGTGGGTAAGGAGAGTCTCCCTCGTTGATGAACTTTCAGCCATTTATTCAACAGTCAAAACACGCAAATACAAAATAACATGCACAAGGACCTGCTCTAGGCCACGGCTCGCACTCACACACTGGATAACCTTCTCCAGGTCACTCACTTGGCCCTTTGGCACACATCTAACACAAAAATATTACAGTATGTAATTACACCTTTACCAACACTTAAAACATGCACTTCACCTCAGATACAATAAGCAGTTTTCCCAGCCAGACCCAAAAAAACATCGACCAAAAAGGCAGAGGGACCATCAACGCCGCCAACAGTCCCTTACCACTGGGGCGTTTTTGAAACAACTTAAATTTAAACGCAACAGTGCAAAATGGCGCAACCTCACAGAGACTGTAGTTCGCTTCATCGCAAAAGAGATGCGGCCCTTCAACACTGCCAAGAAGCTGGCATTTCGACAAATGTTCATCATCATTTGATAGCGCTGCAAATTGCCAGGAAAAACATTTGCCTCTCACTCTGCAATTCCACAACCGTACAGCAACTTGAAAGACGACATCCTGCCGGAGTTCAAAGACATATCATTTGACTGCTATCTAACCGTGCTACTCTTGACTTTCCGAAAAGTGGATTGACTGACAATTTTTGTTGTCCATCTCGTAGGAAATCCACAAGAAGGTCATGTCTCTGCAGTTCAGCGAGTGCCACACAAAGATCCGGCACGTGGATGCGCACGCCACGCTCAGCGACGGCGTCGTGGTGCAGGTACTTGGGGAGCTCTCCAATAACGGGCAGCCCATGCGGAAGTTCATGCAGACGTTTGTGCTCGCCCCAGAGGTAGGCTTGCCTGCGCGTTGCGCTCTTGTTGCTGCGGCACCTGTTTCAACCCAATTAATTAACCAAGCGTCCAAACGCGCTGCTCTTTTGAATCGCCTTTGCCAGGGTTCAGTGGCCAACAAGTTCTACGTACACAATGACATCTTCCGTTACGAGGATGAAGTTTTTTGCGACTCGGAAGCCGAACTTGACGAAGGTCAGATATTTTACTGCGATGTCATTGCGCTGTGGTACAGTTGGTTGGCACATCCCTGCCTGTGCCATGTTTGTTCGGTTTCAGCTTGATTTATCTTGGCTGTTGTTTCTCTTCAGAATCAGAGGAGGAAGTTGAAGAGGAGCCAGAAGAGAGGCAGGCATCCCCCGAGCCGCTGCAAGAGAGCCCCAACAGCAGCGCCTACTACGAGCCTCACCCCGTCACGTACGCGCTGACCCGTCTCTTTCTATTGACTTAGAAGACTTGATGTAAAATTTCATCCCCATTTTGTTTTTCGCAGTAACGGGGTGGAGGAACCGATGGAGGAGCCGGCTCCTGAGCCGGAAATGGAGCCAGGGCCTGAGCCCAAAGTCGAGGAGATAAAGTCCGAAGTGGATGAGAAGGTTCTGGAAGAAATGGAGGAAAAGGCTCCCTCTCCAGCCCCGGTGGAGTCTCCACCCCATGCACAGGAGCCACCCAAGGTATGTGATGGCGCAACTAGAAGCCTTGAAACACATTATTTTATTGATCAGAAGCTCTGCTTAACAAATTAGGTTGAAGCTTTTTTTTTTTCTTTTCACTATCACCTTGCCTTTTATGCAATCAAAAATCAATTTTTTCCTTAAGTTTTTTTTTTTCCCCCTCTATTGTTTCCTTAGTTACTGTAACCGAAATAAACCCTGCAGTGGCAAAATGTCTGCAGTGGAGGAGAAATGTGATTTACAGTAAATCTGAATTGTTGCAAGCTACTGGCACTCTTGTACTAGAATTAATCCTTTTTTAAATATTATATAATTTTTTTTTTTTTTTTTTATCGAGCCTTCTGCATTTCTTGGCCTTCTTTTCCATAGAAAGCCTTATTTAAAACATTGAAATTGAAAGATGGCAAAAAAAATGCAATCTTAGAAAGAGAATGGTGGAGAGAGGTTTAGATGGTAATCTTGAACACACGGTATTGTAACACCTGATTTTCATTGGTGTTTGGCAACATACTTCTTCTTCTTATTATTATTATTATTTTAGTGAACCTCAACATAATATGGATGTACAAACTTATATAATTAGACAGTTGCACCTCTGCTTTCCCCCACAAAGTCCTTCTCATGGGCCTCAGTGACCAGCAAAAACCTTCCCCCGACCGGCACCTCCTCTGGGATCTCACCCCACGTTGTCAAAGCTCCAAGCTCACAAGTAACCATTGTGTGAAACACGTCTCTTGTCATTGAGATTCATTAGTCGTCCTCAGCGTCTCCAGAAAATAAATTCCAAGATTCATTCACAATTTTACTTGATTCGTCTGTAGGCCCGAGTAGATGCCAAGCCAGAGACACAGGCGGCGCCGCTCCGACCACGAGACCAGCGCACCCGCGACCGACCGACCTTCCCCCCACGAGGCCCCCGACCAGGTACTGACCAGTTTCATTCGTATTCTGCTGTGACAGTCTTTCAAATTCACTGAAATTTGAAGTGGATCCCCCTTTGTTTTGCTCCCACCACTAGATGGCGTACCGTCATCGGATGCGCAAATGGGGAAACCGCACCTGAGTTTTGTTAACAAAGGTAAATGTGAATTTTGAAGTCACACTGCAGGTTGTCAAATGCTGTCACAATTTCTTACCTCCACAAAACGCAGGAAGAATTTTTCTGTAAATAAATTCTATCTGCGCTTCCTGTCCCAGGCGGCAGAGGGGAAGGTGAACCCGGCGAAATGGATGGCAGGCGAACCGTGCGCTACCCGGACAGCCACCAGCTTTTTGTCGGCAACCTCCCGCACGACATCGACGAGGGCGAGCTCAAAGACTTCTTCATGAGTACGCCCAAAGTCTCATTTTAGAACATCATTCAGATGACGCTTGGCGGAATAGATTGCGATCATCCCAGATCGTGCATGGATAAGTTTGATCTTTTTTTCCACATCGCAGCCTATGGGACTGTTGTGGAGATGCGCATCAACACCAAGGGCATCAGCGGCAAGCTCCCCAACTTTGGATTTGTGGTTTTTGACGACTCTGATCCCGTGCAGAAAATCCTTGGGGCCAAGGTAGACGGGGCATGTATTGACATTTCATTACCCCCTTTTTACTCACTGGGTGGTGCTTCGGTTTAGGTCAATTATTCTCAATCCCTGGTCTGCACAGTTGGTCCTAAATAAAAAAAAAAAAAAAAAAAACCCTCATGTATCTTTGTTAATCTATTTATGTCTGTGACTCATGGTGTCAGGCAGAACAATTAAATGCCCTTTCACCAGATGGCAGAAGGCGTATAATTAATCTGCATAGCCACCATTTTTGCTTGATGTTATGTCGTGAGATTCTTGTAAAGTAAAAAAAAAAAAATTGCCTTGGAATAAGTGAAGACGAGTGTCCAGCACTGTACAGACTAGCACTGCATGATTTTTTTAAAAATTAATATGATGATAATATTGCACAAAATGCTCAGGGATACTTTCACTACACAGTAAACACCACAAGACTGCGCAAGTATATACGGTAAATACATTATTTAAAGATGTTACTCCCGTCCTACGATCGGATTAATTTGATTCAATTTTTTTCCCCCTTCTAGAATTTGTTATATTTCTCTATTTTAAGCTCTTAAACTGTTTTTACCCAGTATCTTTTTTTCTCCCTTGCTTGACTTCATAGAAGACAGACACAAATATTTTTCCTTACAGATTCAGTCATGTGAAAATTATGAATTTTTTCCTCGTATGAAGTATTTTATTGGTTTTGGCGTTTGTCTGCCATGCTGAGTATGCTCTTCCTCCCGCAGCCCATCATGTTTCGAGGCGAAGTGCGTCTTAACGTGGAGGAAAAGAAAACTCGGGCGGCACGCGAGCGAGAGATCCGGGGCGGAGGCGGCGACGACCGCCGGGACATGAGGCGCAACGATCGAGGACCCGGGGGCCCCCGGGGCATCATGGGAAGCGGCATGATGCGAGAGCGCGACGGCAGAGGGCCGCCACCTCGGGGCGGCATGGCTCCCAAGCTGGGCATGGGGTCAGGAAGGAGCTCGGGAGGCCTCGGTGAAGGCCGCTTTACAACCCAGCGCCGTTGAGGAGAATGGGGAGTTGTACCATCGGCTTCACCTATGTCATCTTTGTTTTATTGTTTTTTTTTTTGGCTCCCTCTTTGCTTTGGAATGTGATGCACCCTCCCGATCTTATTTAGTTGTGAGCCGAAGATCCC